ACTGTGGACAGAAACAAAAATATCTCCCAGTTTTTTTTTCCCTTAAAATTTTCTTTTTTTCTTTTTTTTTTTTTTTTTCAGGATGGCATATGCCATTTCTTTCAATCCCCTCCTAATTATTTTCCTCATTTGACCACAGGTCACTTAACAAAACAGGATAATACTGGATAGGATAACTGTAATTTCTAATTTATTCATTCAATATATGTATCCTTCTCTAGACTCCTCTTTCTGAGTAGGAATCATTAATACCGTATCATTACCACATAGTGTTTAATACAATAGCTATCCAATCATTTGCGTGAATGAATGCATAAAAGGATGAAAAGTCTTTCTTTCATGGAGTAATGGCCCCATCTTGTGGAAATTTAGAATATTGCCACTTAAATGCTTTCCCTTCCTCCCTGTCTTTCTTTGCTCAAGATTATGGCTCACCCAGTTTCTGTCACCCAGTAGGTTAGCTTGGTGAAATGAATTGTGCAACTGGTTAATCAATAGGTGCCAGTTTAGGTCAGTAAGTTGCTTCTACCTTGTCCAAATCACAGATCTGTGAATCTGAATCACAATTACCTCTCATGGGCCCTCAGAGCCCCCTCCTTCCAGTATGCACACAGCTATCAAAAGGATCTGTTCAGCAACCCCCAGTTCTGATCATGTGGTCCTCAGGGTATCAAGGCTGAAATAGCGGAGGGCATATAAACAGTCTCTTCCCTACTAACTGTCAATGCCAAACTTCATCACTCACCTCAGAGGGAACAGGAGATAGTTTATTCTGGACACAGATATGAATGACCACGTCCCCAGGAGCACAGATTTAGATTGCTCTAAATACCATGTTCAAATGTGGTATCAGTCTCTGGAGTTTCCATAGTTACAGAATAAAGTCATAAATCAAGATATTTTTAGATACATTGGTGGAGACATCACATAGGCAGGTAACAGTAAATCAGAGAATCTCTGTTCTATGTGATGACATTCTTAGCTTCTAGCTTAGTGGTCTGTCTGTACATTCCAGAAGGATTTACTTATATTCATAAGGATGCTACATTACACACAGAAGTAAACAACAAATGGCTAAGGGGCTGAGATAGCCCACAATAATTTGGCACCGAATTTGCAGCAACATTAGAGCCTTGAAAGTTTAACCCCGTGTGACATTTTTTTTTTTTCTGGAAACTTTAGTTGACATATCACACAAGAGAAGCATATTCTGTATCAGAAATCCTAATTTTTTTTTTTTTTTTGTTTTACAGAATCTGGATTTTTTTTTTTTTTGAGATGGTATACTTGTAGCCCTGGCTGGTCTGGAACTTGCTATGTAGACCAGACTGGCCTCAATCTCACAGAATCCGCCTGCCTCTACCTTCAGAGTGAGTGCGGAGATTAAAGGCATGTACCACCACACCCCTGCTTGGAACAGTTTTTGAGAAAAAAATACCAACAGTGAAGAACAGATACTTCCCTAATTCACCTATTTCAGGCAGCTCATTTTATTGTTAGTACAGCCTTCCTGTTCGAACCAGAAGTGGACAAAAACGTTTTTAAGCCGGGCTATCAGATTCAGAACTAGAGGCTACTCTAGTCCTCTCACTTTCACAGGCAGCCCAGCGTCGGAGGCCGGAAGACAGCCGCTAGTAGGAGCCGCTCCTTCCCGAAGAGTCGATGTTTGTCGGATCACTCTAGCCCTCAAGAACTCTATGGTTCCGGGGCTGGCTGGGAGGCCCCAGTTTGAAGACTGTGGCGGGGAGATTGTGAAGGCACCTTGCGCAAGGCCGGCATTGTCTCGGGTGGAAGGGCGCTGGGACTGTGTGCTGCCCTGAACAACTAACAGGGACTTGTTTGCAATGAGTGTTCCGCGTCGGAGTGGGAAACGGCGACGTTCAGCATCCGGCTCGGACTCGTTCTCGGGCGGCGGTGACAGTAGTGTCAGCCCACAGCTCGTCCCCAGGCCGGTGCTGAGTCCACCGCCGGGGCTGGGCGGAGGCCGGAGGACCGCAGGAGCAGGTAGCCCACCCCCAGGGCTGGGCCGGGGACAGAAGGGGCAGGTAGTCCACCCCCGGGCTGGGCCGGGGACCGCAGGGGCAGGTAGTCCACCCCCGGGGCTGGGCCGGGGACCGCAGGGGCAGGTAGTCCACCCCCGGGACTGGGCCGAGGCCAGAAGGGGCAGGTAGGGCACCCCC